AGTTTGTGGGTGATAAGGGGTACTGACATTGTGAATTACACCATATTTTCTCATTAATATCCCAACGGGTTTGTTACAAAAATGCTTTCCTTCATCACTAATCATAGCCCGGGGCATGCCAAAACGAGAGAAAATATTTTCTTTCAAGAATTTGACCATAACTTGATGGTCATTGGTTCGAGATGCAATGGCATCCACCCATTTAGACACATAGCCATTAACTCAGTAAGATCGATGTCATATCTACAGAGAGCTAGATCTAGAAAAATCGATATCATATCTACAGAGAGCTAGATCTAGAAATGCACGAGTGTGCGATGTAGCAATTAACTCGGTAAGATCGAGGTCATATCCACAGAGAGCTAGATCTGGAAATTAAGCTAAGTAACAAAAAAAAACTCAAGAGAAATTAAATTAACAATAACTTGGTTGAAAATAATTGATGGATTTGTTTTCAAAGATAAAAAAAATGTAAATAGATTTTAAATGACAAGAAAAGTAAGTCTTGGTCCAAATCAATTTTAATGGTGATGTATTGGTGACTCCTTCAAGATATATATGATAACTCAACCTAATATCAGCGATGGTGATATTAGATCGAAAGATATTACAATGAAGTTTAAAAGGATGAAGATTGATTATTGCTTAAGAATGAACAAGTACTTTCATATTCAATAACACATTGAATCAAGCAATCTCTATACCAAAACTAAAGTTTGTGCATAAAAATTCAAGATTATAACATTACCTAAATAATTTCTAAAATTTCCTTGCAATAATAAAACATTCATGAAGAAAAGGAGAAGATAAATATTAAGATTCATTCATATATTAAAAAGCTCACCTCAACCACCATCATTCTTGATTTGGATCCAAGAAAGAGATTAGCCAACCATGATTATATGAACACTTTAATAAACATGAAATAAATTGTATCAAATTGAAACAATAAGTTTTACAAACTAAAAAACTGAAATCTACAAAGAAGAACACAACACAATTTCAGTAAAAATTCAGACACAAATATAATGTTAACTTTGGACAGCAATTTAGATCCTCCTAGAAGCCTTTTCTGGATATGTCTATTAGAGATATATTTATAGGAAATTATGTCACCGTTTTAGATCATTAAAGAAAATCTCATTTGGACACCTGAGTCAAAAGTTATGGGAAAAAAACCAAAAAGTGTTCTGAAAAATCAAATCAGGCTAGCTTTGCAACTACTTTGGTGCACATTTTTCTTTCTTATTTATGAGTTGTCTCTTTCTTATTTTTGAAAAAATAATATAATAATATCCTCTCCAACTTTCTATCCATGTGTTTACCTTCTTGGATCAATAGATTACCCAAAATAAATCAATTGTTATTTGTTGTGTGAACATGTAAGATCATGGATTGTGTTTGGGTTGATTTGAAGGTTGATTTGGGGCTGA